AGAGGTCATTAGATTTGTCAATTGAGGGGAAATAGTTGGCATAAATCAGTGCTTTTTTTAGTCCTTTGAGTCCTAGGTGCTCTATACTCTGTGTATGTGTGTGTGTGTGTGTGTGTGTGTGTGTGTGTGTGACACACATTTATGTTTGCATTCTTTAAATGCAGAAGGAGATAGCTGTGTCAAAATTCACTCAAGGCATTTGAAGTAACTCATAATGCAGTATATGAGTCAGCCACCAGGTGGCACTCTGCTCTAGCTGTAGTGTCCCTTTCTTGGCTAAGGGACTCCATGCCCTTCAATACATTGCAATATGTTCTGTGGCTGTTAGAGGACGATACCCAAACAGTGAGCTGTTCTTCATAGTGACATCCAATCTCTTTTGCCCTTTCGCTTTCTCCTTGTCTGTACTACAGCTTTCTGAGTCTATAGCCTAGGATTACAAATACTGAAAATAATAGATTGCTACAAATCTTCTTGTCCGTGTTCTCAATTCCTGAATAGTTTGCTCTCTCGATTTCTCATCCCTCTGTATCCAGTGTTTGGGACACATGTGGATCACTCAAGTTTTAATATATATGAAATTAAGATGTTTCAAGGGCTGCCCCTCCCATATGTAGCACGGGGGTGTTGTGATGTGTAAATATCTTATTTTTACGTATTTGAAGGGAGGAGGCAGGATAGACATATCTAGCTTCATCTTCCCCCTACTCTTCTCCAAGCAATGATTTAATTCTTGCCAAGAAAGGAAGCAAGAGGTTAGGGCTATCAGAAGCATGATCACTCTGCTCTCCTCAGATTTGGGAGTTATCGGGCTAGAATTATATTTCTCTGCTCCCTTAAGTATTATTAGTCTAGGGGGATGAAAATTTCAGGTTCAGGCTAACTTCTGATTACTAATTTTTTATTGGGGGAAGAAAAATTCCAAGGTTTATATCCAAAGGCTTGACTCCTTTCTCACCAAATACCAGTTCCACAATGAACACACATACAGCAATTAACTAAGAAATCTATTTATCCAAATCAGTAGCGAAACAGAAATCAGAGAAAATATAAATAGGAGAATATATGCCAGGCAATAGAAAGCGAAGGAGCTCTCCTGTTGGGAGTGAGGTAACTCAGCGAGAGAGAGAGAGAGAGAGAGAGAGAGAGAGACTCCTAGATCTCACCCAAGGAGAAGTTCCCTGAAGTCTCTAATGTAGCAAGCTGGGAATATGGACATGATGGAGACTGCCCAATTCCTCTTGTGCTGGCTTCTTCCAAAATCTTCCAGGGTCTTTTCCTTCAGCAGTCTGAAGGACTTTTTTCTCTCGAAGCTAGAAGCCAAAAGTACCACAAATGACCATAAAACCCAAGGAGATTTAAAGATGCTCCCAGACATGAAGAGAGTCCCCCAAAACTAAAGACTTCTCTCTGCCCGTCTGCCCCTCATGAAGGCTCAGAGCATTGATCTCCACCAATAAGGAGAGAATCCCATACTGATGGGCTTTGGAACAGAGTTACAAAGGTAAACATGAAACAGACAAACTCTCCTCCCCACTGAGATGGACAGCCCTATCATGTTCCATCCAGTCAGCTCTAAACTTCTGCCAGCCTTCTGGAGCACATCCTCCTCCTCGCACTGGAACTGAGGCTCCCAACTCCCCGGGGCCCTGGGCTCAATAGGTGAGGTGCCACCTTATCTTCAACAATAGGCAAGATTAGATACCATTCCCAGTGAGGTACAGACCTTGTATGCATTCTGAACCTCCTTTTCTACCCTCTGGAACTCAGATTCTTCCCCAGGGGCCCCCAGCTCTGCTTTCCAACTCTAGTGGAATTACATGTTATCTTCCTATAGGAGAATGTAAACTCCTCGACAGCAGGAATCATCTTGCTTGCCTGTAATTGTATCTCCAACACTTATCACAGTGCCTGGTACATAGAAAGCACTTAATAAATTCCTCCTTCCTTCCTTCTTGCTTTCTTTTTCTTTCTTTCCTTCCCTTCCTTCCTTCTCTCCCTCTCTACCCATTCCTTCTTTCTTTCTTTTCTTTCTTTCCTTCCTACCTTCTTTTCTTTTTTCTTTTCTTTTTTCTTTTCTTTCTTTCTTTCTTTCTTTCTTTCTTTCTTTCTTTCTTTCTTCCTTCCTTCCTTCCTTCCTTCCTTCTTCCTTTTTCTTTCTTTCCTTCTCCTTCTTTCCTTCCTTCTCTCCCTCCCTACCCATTCCTTCTTTCTTTCTTTCCTTCCTTCCTTCTTTTTCTTTCTTTCTTTTGTTCCTTCCTTTCTTCTTTTCTTCCTTCCTTCTTTTCTTTCTTTCTTTCTTTCTTTCTTTCTTTCTTCCTTCTTTCCTTCCTTCCTTCCTTCCTTCCTTCCTTCCTTCCTTCCTTCCTTCCTTCCTTTCTTTCTTTCTTTCTTTCTTTCTTTCTTTCTTTCTTTCTTTCTTTCTTTCTTTCTTTCTTTCTTTCTTTCTTTCTTTCCTATACCTATCCATCCCCCTTCTGCTTCTTTATGCTAGGGAAATTTCCTCCTCAGGGGTAAAGGGGAGTATTGTCTCTCAAGGGGAGGTGGGGCAGTTAAGCTTCTAGGTGCCTGTCTCAGGCTCTGGGCAACAACTGTTTGTGATGCTGGATCTTCTCTTTTTATTGCCGGTTGGCCCCACCTGCTCCTGAGTTGCTGTTTCTCCCTCTTGTCACATATCACTAGTATCTTGACCCTGCCCAGAAAGAGATCAGACCTAAATCAAAGTTACTCTCTTTTCATAGTTGTCTGCTGCAGAAAAGATTAGAAGAACCACCACTTTACAGAGAAAGGGTCTAAGAATCTGCTCCCTAGGTCCCCTTCCTAATCTCTGGGACCTGGGATCCTTCAAAAAGAGGAGTAGAGGAAAATTCCCTTATGGCTACACGTGCAATTCTAGTTTCAATTGTGACAAATATGCCATGAACTAAATGTGTGCATTTTTGTAGTCTATCCTGATTATTTTTTGCATTTCTTAATTTTTACTTAATTTATTTGGCAATTTTAAATTTTCTTCAGCTCTTACTTGATTTTTGGTATTTCTTAGCATTGTCAATTTTTACATAATTTCTATCATCTATCCATTTGAAGACATCTCTCTAGACAGCTTCTGCGGTCTTCATTTTCCATACTGATAGCTGATTCACTCTGATGCTTTTTCATTTTATTGATATTCTTCTTTGCCTTGTTTGTCTTTTATTTTGGTGGGGTTTTTGTTTCTTTTGCATTTTTAAAGACATTTCCCTTTTGTCTAGGGAATGGAGAGTTACAGTGTTGTGGAACCCAGCTTTCTTTCTTACTGTCACCCTGACATCTTGGCTCTTTCTCCAGTGTGATACATAGCTTTGCCATCGGAGAAGAGAGCATGAATGTGAGAAATGCCATAGGCATAGAACTGACAAGATGTGATAACTGAATAGATATAGAGATCAAGGAAGAAGGAAGAGTGCAGGATGACTCTGAAGTTGTAACCCTGGATGAAGTCTGAAGGAGTTCCCCACTTCCCCAATTTTATACTTTATTTTGAAGGCTCAAAGGATAGATAAGTTTATTTACAGGTCAATCCATGGGAAAATACATCTCAAAGCCCATAGAAAACATTAATATCCAACAATGAGCAACCCTCCCCCAAAGACCTACATAGCTCCAATAACTTACTATATGGCCCTGGGTAAGGCTCCATCAAAGGTTTACCCTGGAATCTGATCCTCCATGGTTTTATAGAGTGTCTGCGGAAGGTTATTTTTCATCAAGTTATGCCTCTGGTAATTTTCAGCCAATATCACCACTCATTGCTGTTAGGTTTGGTCCTTTTCAATGGCTTGTGTTGTTAGTTCTATGGCTTGTCTAACCATACCCTGACCCATATAGTTCCAGTCATTAGTTCTTGGCCTGAATGTCTGATTTCTTCAGGGTAGGGAACTCCCTTTGAGTGTATTCTCTTCCACTGCTATAGACTGACAAGTCGAAAGACAGCAGTTGTCTGGAGCACCAAGAATTTAAGTCACACACAGTTGTTATGTCAGAAGCAGGACTTTAATCTATGTCTTTCTTACTGTCAAGCCAGTTCTCTGCCCTCTTCTCCAGGCTATTTCTTTGCATAAACTTTCTATTTCTTTACCTGTGTATGTGTCCCCTAGAATATAAGCTTCTTGTGGGCAGGGACTATTTCTTCCTTCTGTATCTTTAGCACCTTGCCTTGCACATAGTAGGGGCTTATTAAATGTTGGATTTTATTTGGAATCAAACATACCCCTCCAGAGCCCTAGCCCAGTCCATTCATTTAATTCTATCCCACTGCAGCTACCTAATACCATTCCCTTCTTTTTATTTCCATAGTCCAGACTTGGAAATTCATCAGTGTAGGAGATTCCCAACATCTGAAATTTGTCGTCTTCATGAGTTGCCAGGGGCACTGAGTTAAGTAATTTTCCCAGGGTCCCACAGCCAGCATGTGTCAGATATAGTCTTTCTGTCCCTAAGGCTCCACACTCCATGCCTTCTCAGCTCTCAGCTCAGCTGCCTCTCCCCTCTGATCAGAGGGCTGGAGCGGGGGAGCAATAAATTTCTCCCAAAGTCTTCCTTTCTAGAGGGCTGACACTTCCAGTTAACTCTTCATTTTCCATCAGCTGTTCTTGGTTTTAACATCATGTTAGGTCCTCTTGGTGGCCCCCACCTCCTACCCCCCTTCTCAACTTCTTTTTGTGTATTAGCTTCCCCTATTAGATTGTAAGATTCCTGAGGGCAGGAACTGTCTTTTTTTTTCTTATTTGTATCCCCAGTGCTTGGCACAACACCTGGTACATAGTAGGCATTTAATAAATCTTTATTGACTATTATACATCATGCTGCTTCTGGCAGGATACCTATGAAATTAAAACTGCTCCTCACACATTTTTGTCCTTTTGACAGAGACATCCGAGGCTATGCTTTTTATGGTGGGTTTGCCTCTTGGCCATTGTCTCTAAGGAACCACTAGTCTGCTTTCTGCATTTTTCTATGTCATACCTGCTGCTTTCTGGTACCAAGATTGGCAGATCTATGGAGACAGTTTTCTCCTTTCCCCACCCTTTAAGCTCCCTTTTCACTTTCTAGATCAGATATCAGCTTGGGGAGAGGGAGGGAGGTAGGACAGAAGAAGAGGAGGGGGAGTCAGAGACAGTATCTTGGGATAAAAAGAAGGTAGCAGCAGAGGAGAATGAAGGAAATGTTTCATGCCAGTGCAGCGAACCAGACCCTCTCCCCCTATTCTTCTCCCCACCTTACTTCATCTAACACCACCTGGCCCATGTGGACAAATCAGACTTGGGTGATTCAGGCAGAGAGGCAGCAAGTGGGTCCTGGGGCCATTTCAACAGTCAATAGGGGGGAGGTGATGGAGAGTGGGTACTAAGGCCACTGCAGCTATCATTATTGAGTATGCTGGGGTCTGGTATACACTGACAGGTGATGAGGAAGATGGGTAAGGCCTGAGTGTCGTGGAAGATGACAAAAATTCTAGGCTTTCTTGTGGAGTTGACAGCACTGTCATAGCGCTGGATGCCCTGCCCAGTGTCCCTCTGGGGTGGAACCCGAAGCTCTGGACGTCCTAGCCCGTAGTCTCCTGTCAGCACTCGAGCCACGAACACTGCCTTGTGCCCGTTGGCATCTGGGGGTGAGTACCGGTCCTTGATGGAGACCTTAGCCTGTACAGCAAAGTACACCCCCTTCCCGTACAAGGTGGCTGGGGTAGAGAGAGGGGAAAGATGAGACTCCAGCCCCCTGCCCTCACTGTACCCCAGAGTCTTCCCATACCCCCCCCGGCCAGGCCTTTATACAGGTGGCCCCGTCATTACTCCCCAGTCCCTCACCCTTCTCCTTAAATCCTTCACTCTTCCCCATAACACCCCCCATCTGTATCCAAGTCCTACTCCTCACTCTTCAATGCATGCTATCTCACCATGTTCCCCTAAACTTGTCTTGTGGATCCCTTGCATTGTCTCCCTATCTCTTACCATTGCGGCCACAGAAGCTCCTATTGAAGCCTTGGCTGCAGATATCAGGCACAGCTTGCCAAGAGGTCCCATGGTACAGGATTCGCTCGATGGGTTGCTGCAGACATGACTGTTCCAGCTTCTTCTTATGGAGCTCATACTGACTCTGGAGTAGGGGATTAGACACCCGCTCAACCTAAGGGGAAAAGAGGCTGACATTCAGTGGACAATAATTCAACCAGGCCAGAAGCTTAAAGGTTCCCAGGCTGTGACCCCTAACATACTCCAAAGACCCTGAGAATGCTCCTACAACTTCCTGGACTTGATCTGGACCAAAAAGTCAAGAAGCAATTTCCCTTCATTTCCTAGGCTATGACCTAGGTACAAATGCAGTGAGTACCCAGCAGCTACAGTGACTTCTCTATGGCCCTAGAAGGCAGCCCTTGACAATTACTCTGGCCAAGTCACCAGCAGAACTTAGTAATGGAAAGGGGTTGGGACAGGGATTGAAGAGAGGGTAGTTGAAGCATTAGTTTTAGCTCCAAGCTCAGAGCAGGGCAGGGCAGGGCTTCCTGGTGCCAGCTCGGAGCCCAGAAGTGACAGCAGTGTACTTAAACTCAAGAAACTTGGGTTCAAATCCCACCTTCAGCAGTTACCAGCTGTGTCATCATGGACGAGTCATTTAACCTCTTTATGTTTCAGTTTCTCCACTTATAAAATGCAGCCTGTTCCTTCCTTTGAAAACTGCACTCACTGGGGCCCTATAGTTGTTGCAAAGTAACATGTAAATCTGAGTGCACCTGAAATCCTAACACCAGCCTTTGGACCACATCTATACTCAGAGATCATTTCTCTGGGCCCTTATTCAGAAACAGGGAAGCCTCCAGGGGATCATTTCAGTTTGCTGAGGATGATGGCACAAGCCAGGCCAGGCTGGGGGGAAAGGCCTTGAGTCAGGGCGCAGGGAATACAGGCTCAGAAACCATAATGGTAATGTTGGGAGAGGGTCATGAGATTCAGGAGAAACCTTCATAAGGCATCCATATCAGGGTGCCCTTTTGACCTTGGGCAGCTCTTATGGGACCCTTTTCCTCCTTAAAGCCTCCTAGGAGCATGCCATAACCTTTGTGTCCTGCCCCCAACCCTGACCTTAGATTTGGGAAAAGCCCCAATTTTCTCCCTTCAACATCCTAGCTCAAACTGTCTCTGCCATGGGCAGAGGAAGAGATAATGGGCAGGGAGAACGGATAATAATAGTTAAAACAATAATAAATAGCAATTTAAAATTCACAACTTTCTTCACAACAGTGAAAAGATTATCACCCCTATTTTACCAAGAAAGAAATAATAATAGCTAGCATTTATATTATGCTTTAAGGTTTGCAAAGTACTTTACAAATATCATATCATTTGACCTTCACAACTATGATAAGTAGGTACTATTATTATCTCCATTTTACAGATGATGAAACTGAGGCAGACAACAGTTAAGAGACCTTTCCAGGATGACACAGCTAGTAAATATCAGAGGCTAGATTTGAACACAGGTCTTCTTGGTTCCAGACCCAAACTCTATAAACTATATACCATAATTTGTTCAGCCATTCCCCACTTGATGGGCATCCTCTCAATTTCCAATTCTTTGCCATTACAAAGAGCTGCTATAAATATTTTTGTACATATTGGTCCTTTTCTTTTTTTGATTTCTTAGGTATATAGATCTAATAGTGATATACCTGGTTCAGAGGATATGCACAGTTTAAGAGTTTTTTTGGGTGTAGTTACAAGTTATTTTCCAGAATGGTTGGAATAGTTCATGGTCCCAACAACACTGCATTAGTGTACCTATTTCCCACATCCCTCCAGCATTTTCCTTTTCTGCTATCTTAGCCAATCTCATGTGTGTGAGGTGGTACTTCACAGTTGTTTTAATCTGCATTTCTTCATTTATTAGTGATTTAGGGTATTTTGTATGAATATTGATAGCTCTGATTTCTTTAGAGGAAGTTTCTTCATCTGGAAGTTCTCTATACTAATGAAATAACAGATTCAGGCCCTTTCCCTGTCTTTATAGTATCACAAGAAACAATGACTATGAAGAATTTCAAGGATCTTGGAAAGCTGCTGGAATGAACTGGTGCAGCCTGAAGTAAGCAGAACCAGGAGAACAGGAACGATGTGCAATGACTACAGTTATGTAAATGAAAAGAGCACACAAAAGGCATGAGAACCCTGATTAAATGACTGACCTCAGTCCTGGAGAATTGTCAGGACGTATACCTCCCACCTAGCAGTAGAGAGGTAAGGAATTCCAGATGAGAAATGAGGTATATGCCGAAGAAGGTGGCTACCATTTTAAAACCAAACAAAATAGAAGCCCTGCTCTAATTCCCAAACTACAATTTCCAGCCAGCTCCAGGCTCTCCCCATGGTGGTCAAAGGAAAGAGGACCTCTTTTCTGATGTTCCAGCCCTGGGTAGAACTGCTGGGAGCTGGAGAAGGGGATAGTGTTTATAATGGGGGAGAAGTGCTCAGGAGTGCCCAGGGCAGGGTGGGCTGGACTTTAGGCTTACCTTGACGATGCGAATCTTGCTGCGGGAGCTGTCCAAGGTGCTGTAAAAGGCTTGGGCTGTCTCCTGGAATTCCTCACTGCTCTCTTCCAGGCACTCCAGCTCTAAGGGCTGCTGCCCCATCACCTGTGGCACCACTGATGAGATGTGGGGGGAGGAGTAAAGGGGACACAGAGAAAAGACCTTCATCCCTTCCCTCCCTAAGGTCCTGAAATTCAAGTGTTGCTGGGGTTTTTTTTGGGGGGGAGGGAGAAGCACTGGGCATGTGGGCGTGTGACTATGGAAGATGAAGGTAAAGGTAGTGGGGGAAGGGGTTAGTGCCAGCCTTACCTTCTGGTCTGGCAGAGTCTGGGGCCAATGTGTAGCTCTGGCTCAAGGGGACAGTCATCAGTTCTCTGAGGTGATTGGCAGCACAGGAAGGCTGGGGACCATAGCCACTTAAGACAGCACACCTTCCCTGCAGGATAACTGTCACATCATGGTGCCTCCCCAGGCGGGACCAGAACGCAGGGGGTAAATGCTGGTCCACACCCATCACCCTCTCTTCTCGTAGCTGTTCCCTGAGAACAGTCTCCAAAACTTGGCTCAGCTCACTGGGGTCCTGATCACAGGCAACATGCACCATGAGTCTCCCCCTACTGTGACTACTACCACTGCCATCAGGCTCTCTGTCATCCAGCAGAGACATCATCAGCACTTGCTTCAGAGTTCTTGTCTCCCACATCATCAGGCTTTTCTCCTCCAGTGAATGATGCAGGGCCAATTGCAGAGCTGCCTCCTCCTCAAGTGTCTCCTTTGTTCTGCCAGGGGCTGCTACCCCCTCCTCAGACTCATGCAGTTCCCCCTCCTCCATCTCCAAGAGAGGACATTCTTCTTCATCTAGGGTGTCCAGAAACTTCTTGATCTCCTCTGAAGGGCAGGGAGAGGGATAGAGTTAGAGGGGTAAAACATAGGAGAGGGGTAGTTTGAAGCTGGAGAGGGGAGATAGGAACAGTGGTGGAGGGGAGACTGGGTGGTGCCCATACCCATTTGGATAGCTGAAGTGTCTGAAGCAGTGCTGCTAGAGGGTGGGGGGTCATAGGCCCAGTCTTCTGGTGACTCTAGAGGGTTCGTGGGGTCAAGCTGTGGGAATAGGATCAGATAGGGAGAAATGGAGTCAGGACTCTACTCACTCATTGCCCTACTCCTGCAGCCCCTATGTCTCTTGGGAGTAGCAACCTAAGGCCAGAGCTGAGGTTCAAAGATCAGAATGATGGTAGCAAGATCTGAGATTGGGGGTTGTTTCCAAGATCCTGAGATGGGACCAACAGTTAGCTCAGAGGTCAGGGTCAGGGCTTAGGGGGAAGGATGAAGGCAGGTACCTCTACGGGGTCTACATCGAAGGCTGCTACCACCTGTTGTTCTACTGTGAGGATGCAATGGAACTGGGCCTCCAGGTCCTTCAGGAGGCTTTGGCCCTCACTGCCCAGCAGGAAGTGGGCACTGCCTGGGTGTTTCAGAGGCAGCATGTGGCACTCAATGCTGCCCAGAAGACTCTGTAGGAAGTCTTTGGCAGCTTGGCATGACTCCTGTGCCCCATTGATCTGTGGACATAAAGAAAAGTTCAGAGGGAGACTGCTGAGTTGGGGAAAAGGAAAGCTCTTTCCTCAATGAGGTATGTCTGCTATCACAGCTTCTGAGGGTATGCTTGTGAAATCATAAACCTATTCTGGTAGGACTCTGAGAGATATTTCTTATGGATGGTCCAAAGAGAAGAGATATGGGAAAGACCAGGGAAACTAGCTGGAAATAGGAACCTGAACTTGGGAAAATGTGGTCAGTCCCTTGGTTCAGAACCCATCCACAGCCAGTCTTCAATGCCCCCCCCCATTGCTTCTAGTATAAAATAGAAATTGTCTGGCAGAGGCAAACTCTGACTCCCATCTACTTTTCAAAGACTCCTTGTTTCCTTCACAGCACAACTCAAGAGTCACGTCCTGCATGAGGTTTCTCCTAATTCCCTAATTGATAATGCTTTCTACCTCTTAGAATCATTTTGTGTCCCCTTGTAGTTTGCTTCCCCCAATAAGATGAATATAAGCTCCGTGAGGTCAGGGGCTTGGCATTTTTGTCTCTGCATCCCAGTGTCTAGTACAGTGCTTTGCACATAGAGCAATTTATTGAATTAAATGGAATCTCTCCTGTCACTTTTCAACATTCCAGAATAAGAATCGTCATCTAACCTTTCCTTGAAGAACTTCAGTAATGAGGAAATCACTATATCCCCAAAGCAGCCCAACCCATCTGGGGACAGCCCCAGTTGTTAGAATTTCCCTTATATTAACCCCAAATTTTCCCTCTTTTTCAGTGACCTGTGAGCTGGAGGTTCCTCTCAGGTAGGAAACAAGAAGGTAGTGAGTGGATAGACCTTGGAGTGAGGCTTCCAAACATGAAGAGATGAGAACTTTCCATCTAGCAAGGAGATGGAAAGGTGGTTCCTATCTCTGTGGCCACATAGTTATTCCTGGCCTAGATAATTCATTAGTAAATAATAATAATGATAGCAACAGGTTTGTGAAGCAGCTTATATGTTATCTTATTTAAGCCTCTCAATAGCCTTTTAAACAAGCAAATTAATAAATACAAAGGAAATTAAAAGTAATTGGGTGGCACAATATAATCAGGTGAAATCAGGAAAGGGATCTTGAAAGAAGTAGTATTTGAGCTGAGACCTGAAGAGAGCTAGGTGTTCAACAAGAGACGGAAGTGAGGATGGGCATCCCAGGCATGGGGACAGCCAGTCCAAACGTACGGAGGTGGAATGTTTTGTACAACCCCATGAAACTCTATAGTTCAGACCAGATGGAATCACAATCAAGAAATTCAATGAGAAAATATGAGAAATGACTTCTTCAGTCCCTAGAAATGTACTCCAAAAAAGTCAATTAGCAGCCCAGAAGTCATGGGAAAGGAGCCCACCAGCCCCAGCACAAAGTAGCCTCCAAGCATGACCAGTCAGGCATATGTGTAACCGGCAAAACTCTGTGCCTGGAGGTAGCAAGTGCAGAGGACCCCTGAGAAAACCGGAGGATGGAAACTTGGAAATCCCTGGGAATGACCTATGCAGCACAGCTAAAGTGCTCAGGCCCTCAGGCCCAGGGGCTTGGAGATCCCTAATACTTTGTCCTGGGATGCCAGGGAGGGCCCTGGAGGTCCAGCACTCTGAATATCAAAGGTCCAGGGGAGCCTAATCCCAGGGAGAGGAAGTCATTGAAGGAACCCGGAATGAGACCAAGTGAGGATAACCATCCAAGCCAAATGCACAACAGAAGGGTCAAGTTTAGCCCTGGCACAAAGCTACAATCCAAGAAGTAAAGCTGGAGGGATGATGAAATTAAAGAAAACATTGATTGGTATAAAAACGATTGAAAATCTAGAGGTCCCCAAAAAGAGAGTGTAAGTCTGTCACAACTGCAAGCAGAAATTATAAGGGGGAAAAAGTGTATTTTCCCCCAAAGACTACATTAAGTCCCTAGAAAAAAAATGAAGCAAGAAATAAAAATAAAATAAAAATTTCTGTGGAAAGAATTGGACGGAGAATAAGTAGCTGAGAAGAGAAAGTGGTAAACTTTAGCCACGAAATGGACTCCCTGAAAACTAGAGCGGATCAAAAAGCAATCAATAACCCTATGAGATAGCAAGAAATATTATAACAAATAAAAAATGTTTTAAAAAAGTAAAAGATATCTGATACGAAAAAAAGACTGACCTGGAAAACAGATCAAGGAAAGAAATTTTAAGAACCACTGGACTTCCTGAAAACAATGAGTAAAAAAGATAGGAAGATGGGAAGGCCTAGGGGAGGAAAGATGAGTTTGCTTTTGTACATGTTGAATTTCAGATGTGTACAGTGGCAGAGGTGTCAAACTCAAGTGTGACTCCAACCAGATTAAAATGTAATTATGAAATGTTTAACAGAATATTAAAAATACAACACAACATAGATTATGTCAATTTGTGGTCTTCTAAGTCAATATGTGGCCAGCAGGGGTCAGTTTCTATTTAAGGTTCCTACAGGTTGATGTCCAGTTCAAGATATTCAAAAGGCAGCTGAAGATGTGAGACTAGAGGTCAGGAGAGAAGTAGATTAGTAGATCTGAGAATCATCAGCATAGAGATGGTAATTGAATCCATGAGAACTCATGAGAAGGGCATACAAACATGAAGGGAGGGCTGGGAGAACTGAGTATCAGATAAGATGAATCTTACCTATATATGAAACACACAGAAGAGGGTTAAAGGGACCCACAGTTTGGTGGAGAAATACATCCAATTCAACACAGAAACAATCAGGGATGGGGAGGGTGGAAGATTAAGAGAGAAAGTAATACCAAGGAAGGGAATAGCCACATGTAAAACAAATTTCTTTATCTTGAAGGAGGGAGAGTACTTAATGGGGGGGGTTGAAAAGGAGGGAGAAAGAACTCTGATCTAAGGATGTGCTTTAAATTGCCTCCTAGACAACTAGTAAATGGTTGAACATGTTAATGTAATGGAATATTATTGCAGAAGAAATGATGAAAGAGACATTTCAGAGAATTTGGGGTTAAATGAATTGTTGAGAAGTGAAGTGAGTTAAACCAGGAGAACAATTTATAAAAAGATAGCATCATTGTAAAGAAAAACAACTTTGAAAGACATGTCAAGCAGCCTGACCACCTCCAGAGCCCAGGGAGAGAGTGAGTAGACCACAGGTTGCCATAGAGAGTTGGGAAACCCAAGAAGGGAGATAAGAGAGTCAGGGACCATTGGAGATGCTGGAACCTCTTTTTACCTGGTCTATTCTCCTAAAAGATGTCACTGCTCCCTATAGGCTACCACTATGCTCAGAATAGCCCAGACACAGCATCAGGAGGAACTCACCTGAAAGCCAGTGACATCCGGACCATCCAGTGAGCAAAGGGTCACTTCACTAAGGCTGGCAAGAAACTCCTGGTAGTAGAGTTGCAGAAATCGCAAGGCACCTGGCTCCATAGGCAGCAGGATCTCCCCTCCCTCCCCTGGCACCACCTTCTTGGGCACTGTGTCCCCCACTGGCTCTCTTGATCTCTCCCCTGGCACAGTTTCTTCCAGCACTATGCTTCCCAGAGGTTCTACTGCCCCTGCTCTCTCCACAGTCACTGATTCCTCTGGTGTCTCCCTAGATCCTGTTGCCTCCATTTTCTCCAAGGGAACCGTCGCCATAGCGTTCTCCACAGGCAGTGTTATCCCTGGTTTCTTTATAGTCATTGTGGCTTCCAGTCCCTCCATAGGCACTATTTTTCCAAAGGTCTCTGTGGAAATCATCTCTCCCAGAGCTGGTCTATCTCCTTCCTCTGGTTTAGGCTCAGGCTCAGGTTCAGGCTCCAGGACATCATAGTGGGGGACTATGTTTAGCTCTGAATCGCCAAGTTGGTGATTTTGGCTCAACACTCGCTCTGCCACTGAGACGGAGAGAGAGTTCTTCAGGGGCTAGTCCCTCCAGGAATTTCATGCTAACAGAGGCTTAAGGGACACCAGGTCAAATGAGCAGACTGGGAAGGTGGGGTGTTGGGGTTGAGAGAGAAGTTGGGCTCCAGCTAGCATTTGGACCTGCTCTCCCCACGCACAACCGGACCCTGGGGAATCAGGGGCAAGTGAAGAAGAGGTACTTACCCTCCCACTGCTGGAAAGTAACAACAGTTCCCTGGGCCCTAGGTAGTGTCCGCAGCCCCTCCAGGGCACCGCCCCCACTGCGGCGAGGGTTCTCCAGGTAGAGCTGAAGTAGTGTGGGATCTGGGGGCTGATCTCTCCTCACAACCCTTACAGCACGAGCCTGGGGCACCCACGCTAGTGACACCTTTGTGCCTCCCAGTGTTTTCCCACTGGACCGAGTAGCCAGCTCTTCAAACTCTGTCATACGGAAGACAACGGGCTGGTGAACTTTGGAACAATTCTCCTCTTCTCTCCCTTACCAGGCCCCAACTCTCTCCCACCCTAGCAGCCCCCCCCTGCACAACCCTCCCCATATTTCTGGGCGTCTCCCGTGTCAGCTCAGCCCACTCAGAGCCCTCACCTGCTTCCGAGAGAGGCGTGGGTAACTGTACCAGGGCCCGGTCTGGCCGCGGACTGGCGAGGGCTTGACACTCCCCTTCGGTGCTCAAGAGGCTCTCCGCATAGTATTCCAGGAGCTCTGGGGTTGTGCCCGGCCTCAGGCCCAGGAACAACAGACGCTGGGGGGCCCGGGGTGGGGAAGGCACCACACTCACAGCTGTGCCCTGCAGCACGTGACTGGCCTGGGCCAGGACTCGCTGAGCATCTGGAATAAAAGGGAGGGGGAGGTGGGTAGGTCAGGGTTCCTAGCACGGATCTCTCGATTTGTCTCCAGGGTCCTGTATCCTCCTCCCAACACACACGCGCGCGCGCACACACACACACACACACACACACACACACACACACACACCTCGAGTCGTTCTCCATTGCCCTTCCAGCCTCTCCTTACCCTCTGACTTTTGAAAGGTGAGGATCCCGCCACCATCCAGCCGCTGCCAGCCTCTCAGAGGGCCGCCCCCCGAGCGCCGCCGGTTCTGGAAATACAGTATCACTAGCTCGTCACTCACGGCGTGGGGCAGACCCCGCAGCTCCACCTGCACCTCGGACCCCAGCTCAGTCATCCTCCCGGCCTTTCTTCTGTGCACTGGTTCCCGTGCCGCCGTCTGGCGCTCTCCCACCAGACCTAGAAAATTACAGCCACTCCCCCTAACAAAGAAACGAAACCAAAACAGAAAACTTTGGCGAGTACCCGGGGTGGGGCAGAGTTGGATTACTTATCATTTAAGAAGTAGCTGGTGGTGCAGTGGATAGAGCACTGGTCTAGATTCAGGAAGAACTGAGTTAAAATCCTGCTTCAGATACTTACTAGCTGTGTGACCCTGGGTAAGCCATTTAACCTCTGCCTGCCTCAGTTTCCTCATTTGTAAAATGGGGATAATAATAGCACCTCCCTCCCGGGGTTGTTGTGAGGATCAAATAAGATGTTCTTAATAAGCCTAGCATGAAGTAGTGCTATTTAAATTCTAGCTATTATTGGTTTTGTGTATAGATGTGGAACTGGCAAGGACCTCCGGAAGTCATCCAGCTCCACCCCCTCATTTCACAGCTGTAGACACTGAAACCCTGAGAGGTGAAGGGACTTGCTCAAAGCCATTTAGTAAGTAAAAGCCAGAATTTGAATCCAGTACCTCTGATTTTCTGAGTCTGCATAGTCTTCTGATGCATGCTGAAACTCTGCGGTTGAATTCTATTCAATGCAAAACTCATGAGGAGGCATATTTATCAGCTTTCCTGTATGTTGGCATCTCAGGAATATTAATGAGGCAGGCTTCTAGAATTCTTAATGTCCTTGAATAAAGGAAAGACTGGAGTGAAGGAGGCTATTCCGACAGTCTAGCCCGGAGGGGATTAGGCTCAGACTCAGGCTGGTTGTGGTGGGAGTGGGAGGTGGGAAGAGAAGCAAAATTAGGGATTTTGTGGAGGAAGAATTGACAGGACTTGTCAACTGATTGGATATGGGGGAGGTGAGGGAGAGTGAAGAGTCAAGGATGATTCTGACGTTGTGAACCTGGGCGACTGCAAGGATCACAAGACTATAGGTTTAGAGCTGGACAGGATCTCAGAGGTCACCTAGTCTCACCCTCTAATTTTATAGATGAGGAAATGGAGGCCAAGAGAAGTGAGGGAGTAAGTAGCAGAAGTGAGATTTGAACCTTGGTCCTTCGGCTCTATATCCAGTACTCTTCCTGTTTTTGTTTTTTGGTGTTTTTTTGGTTTGTTTTTGGCTAGGCAATGGAGTTAAGTGACTTGCCTAGGGTCACACAGCTAATAAGTGTTATGTGTCTGAGGCCACGTTTGAACTCAGGTCGTCCTGACTCCAGGGACGCTGCTCTATCCACTGCGCCACCTAGCTGCCACCCAGCTGCACCTCCCCCCCCCCCCAAGTACTCTTCCTGTTGACAGAAAAAGGGAAGTTAGGATAAGGGGTGGACTTGGGGGAGATGAGAAGTCCGTTCTGTTTTGAACATGTTTCTTGCATTTGAATTGCCTACAGGACACTCAGGTGTTGTATAACCAACAATTATATGGTAATATGGGATTAGAGGCTGGGAGAAAGATGAGAGCTGGATCACATCTGGATCACATCCTATTCACCTAGGCATTACCTCTCTCCCACCTGCCCCCCCCTTCCACATTTTGCTCTGGAATCAGGTCCCAGTTACCATTGCTTCTAGAAAATGCATGTTTTATGTCAGTTTCCTGCACTATGGATCAATTCACTGTCCCCATGACACCTCAAATCAAACTTCCTTTCTTTGGCCACTACTCTCCTTTATGTGTTGTGTCTATCTGTTAGAATGTAAGCTCCTTAGGGGCAGCTAGGAGGTGCAGTGGATAGAGCACAGGTTCTGAAGCCTCGAGGACCTGACCTCAAATCTGGCCCCAGGCACATGATATTCACTAGCTGTGTGACCGTGGGCAAGGCACTTAACCCTGATTGCCTCACACACACAAAAAAAAGTAAGCTCCTTGAGGACAGGTATTGCCTCTCTTTCTAAGTTAAAAAAAAATTATTTATATCTTTTGTTTTCACATTGCCTAAATTCCTTCTAGCACTCCTTTCCCTTACCTCTCCCAGAGGGCCATTCCATACACCAAAGAATATTTTTAAGAAACAGAGTAAGAGGGGCAGCTAGGTGGTGCAGTGGATAGAGTACCTGCCCTGGAGTCAGGAGGACCTAAGTTCAAATCCAGCCTCAGACACTTACTAGCTAGCTGTGTGATCCTGGGCAAGTCACTTAACCCCCATTGCCTCCAAAACTTAAAAAAAAAAAATTTAAAAAAGGGCAGCTAGGTGGGGCAACGGATAGAGCATCTGCCCTGAAGTCAGAGAACCTGAGTTCAAATCCGGCCTCAGACCAAACACTTGACACTTACTAGCTGTGTGACCCTGGGCAAGTCACTTAACCCCAATTGCCTAAAAACTTAAAAAGAAAAAGAGAAAGAAGAGAAAAAAATCAGCCAAACCAATCAATATATTAAAAGGTCATATGCAATGTTCCACAATCATAGACCTTCCACCTCTGAAAAAAAGAGGTGTCTTCTTACATATCTTCTTTCTGGCCATGCTTGTTCTTTGTAATTCTGTAATATTCACTTTCAATTGTTTTGTGGTGGTTGTCCTTTCCATTTAAACTGTAGAAAATTCAATAGCCCCTTCTCAGTCCCCATTTTCTTTTGGTCTCTCTGCAGCATTTGACATGGTTGACCACCACTTCCTTCTGGAATCTCTCCTCAATGGCATTTGCTGAAACTGCTCTTTACACTTCTCTTCTACAAGCCAAGCCATTCCTTTTCAGTCTCCTTTCTAGGACTATCATCCATGTCCCATCTTCTATGTATGTGTGTCTACCCTAGGCTTTGTCCTGTGCCCTCTCTTTCTTGGTGATCTCATTAGCTCCCATGGGTTCAGGAGTGAGGTGATTGCACCCTGCACCAGGGTGTTGACAGTACCAGAAGAGAGAAGGGGACTTATACAAGAGATGTTATGAATGTAGGAATGGCAGAATTTGATAGGAGAGCAAGAGAGCACAAAGAGAAGAGTATGACACCTAGATGATGATGATGATGATGATGATGATTAACTTTCATGTAGCACTTTAAAGTTTGCAAAATGTTTTCAAAATGTTACTTCATTTGATCTTCAAGACAACCCTGAGGGGTAGGTACTATTATTAACCCTATTTTACAAATGAGGAAGCTGAGGCAAAATATAAATGATTTGCCCAAGGTCACACAGCCATTAAGTATCTGAAGCTGGATTTGAACTCAAGTCTTCCTAACTCCAGGTCCAGTACTCTGTTCACTGTACCACCTAGCTACCTCTAGGTTTCAAAGCTGAGTGACTGGGAAGATGATGGTTTTCTCAACAATAATAGGGGAGTTAGGATGAGAGGAAGGTTTTGGAAAAAAGAATACTAGTTCATTTGTGAACATATTGAGTTTCAAATGTCCAAGGGACATCCAATTCAAGATGTCTAATATACAGATGGAGATGTGAGCCTGGAGGCCTTGAGAGAGATTAGGGTGGGAGTGAGGTTCGGGCTGGAGAAGCAGATCTGAGAGTCTTCTGAATGGAGATGATAGTTAAAATCATGGGAGTTGATAAAATCACCAAGTAAAATAATATACAGGGAGAAGAGAAGAGGGACCAGGAAAGAGCCTTGGAGAACACCCATGATTAGCAAATGTGACATGGATGAAGATCCGACAAAGGAGAAATAGAATAAGTGGTCAGATAGGTAGGATGAAAACCAGGTGTCATGAAAACCTAGAGAGAAGAAAGTACTAAGGAGAAGAGGATAATGAACAGAGGTCAAAAAGAATGAGGACTGAGAAAAAGCCTGGCAATTGAGAGATCACTAGTAATGTTGGAGAGAGCAGTTTCAGTTGAATAATAATGCTGGAAGACAAAATTCCAGGAATCAAGAAGAGAGTGAGAGAAAAGGAAGTGAATGAATCTATTTCAATTGGCGTGCTCAAGAAGGTTAGGTAGGAGAAATATAGAATGATAGCAGGGATAGACGAATCAAGTTAGTTTTTTGAGGGTTGACATGAGCATGTTTATAGGCAATGGGAATGTAGTCAGTAGGCAGAGAGCTATTAAAGATTAATGAGAGAGCAGGGATGATGGAGGAAGAGAGAATGGAATCCCTTGTGAATTTAGAGGGGTTTCACTTGACAAAGAGAAGGACCACTTCTTCATGTAAGGCAGGGAGGGATGAAGGAGATAGTGGTGGAAGGCATCCGAGGAAGGCAGGATGAGGAAAGGGGAGAAGAGGGAGCTCTTTACAAATGGCCTCAATTTTTTTTTCCAGTGGAATATGAGGCAAGGTTCTCAGTCTGAGGTTGGTTAGAGGGAGAGCTATGGGAGGTTTGAGGAGAGATGAACAGCTTTGGAAAAGCCACTGCAGTGAATAGGTTAGGGAGATCAGGGAGGTGTAAAAGGATTGTCTTGCTGCAATGATGTCCCAGTTAAGCTTATGTAACATAAACCTGTAGTGGACCCAGTTTGGACAGTTTTATGATATTTCTCCAACTTCATTCAGTAGCAAGTGAGTAGGAGCCTAGGCAGTTGATGGTGGGATCAATCCAAGGCTGGGATTTGGAAGGACAAGATCTTTGACAGCATGAAGGGGAAAGGGACTTAAGAGAAGAATTGAACTGAGGGTTCAACTGAGTTGACCAAAGGGTCAAGATGGGGAAGGGAAGAGAGTGTAGCCAGTACAGATGGGAAAGAAATATGAAGTGCCATGATTGGAGGTCATAATGAGGAAGAACAGTTTCAAGGCAGAAGGTGAGGCAGAATGACAACAGATTGCGATGAGATAAAGGATTTTCAGAGTTTATGAACGTGGAATTGGTGTATTTGTGACAAGAGCAAGGATATGACCATTTCTTTGTGTAGCTGAGGTGGGGTGGAGGAATAGGTCATGGGAAATGAGTAAGTTGCAGAATTGGAAGGTTAGGGAGTTTGAGGGAATATCACTATGTATGTTGAAGTTCCCTGTAGGAGGGATAGAGGTGGAGAGGAAAGACTGTGAGCCCGGCACTGAATGGATTGAGGGAGGAAAGGGGAGTGTCCTAGAGGTGGGAAGACAACAGCTACCAGAATCTTGATTGAGTGATAAATATTGTATTGAATG